CCCCAAGTCAACTGCTGCTGAAACTGACCAGCGGCTGACTACAGGAAGCCCGAGGCAGAGTTGCTCTGCCCCAGGCTTCCAGGAATCAGCCGCTGATCAGTTTCAGCAGCAGCTGACTTGGGGACGCCTGGGTTTCTTAAGTTGAATCTGTATGTAAGTCAGAACTGGCATCCAGATTCAGCCGCGGTTGAAACTGATCAGTTTCAGCAGCGGCTGACGCCAGTTCCGACTTACATACAGATTCAACTTAAGAACAAACCTACAGTCCCTATCTTGTACGTAACCCGGGGACTGCCTGTATTGAGAATTTAGTGAGACTATGTAAGGTAACGAGTAGTCCTCTGGCACCTTAGAGACTAACAAAAATATATAGAATCATGAGATTCCGTGGGCAAAATCCACTTCAGATTAATTAGATTGGAAATAACAGAAACATCTCTCTGTCTATCTTATCTGTCTATCTACAGCAGAAGTACCTGTGTTAATGAGGCTAATTAAGTGGTCTGCATGTGTCCCATAAGTAGAAGATAAGTTGTTATTGTTCTGTGCTTACTCTTCTGAATAACCAGAAGTGTGCATATTTAGCTTTGTGTGTGCGTAAATGTCGTGTGTTCACATTGTAGTGCATAAGGGGGCTGCATTAAGGTTGCCCCACCACAGTCTGCTCCGCTACTCTGTAAATTTAAAGTAATTCTACTAATTCAATTACTGTGGATTTATACTTGGCGTAATTAAGATTAATTAGGAATTACCAGTTAAAATATCAGATTTCATGTTATATTTGTAAAGAACAAATCATGTCAAACCAATCTGATAGCTTTCTTTTATAAGGGAGAAGCGATGGGTGTGGCATACCTAGACATCAGTAAAGCATTTGCTACGGTCTTGCATGACCTCCTAATCAATAAACCAGGGAAACACAACCTAGATGGGCTATTATAACGTGGATGCATAATTGGATGGATAACCGTTCTCAGAGAGTAGTTAGTAATGGTTTATAGTCATGCTGGAAGGGCATAAGAAGTGGGGTTCTGCAGGGGTCTGTTTTGGAACTGGTTCTGTTTAATATCTTCAACAATTTAGATGATGGAATAAATCAGGAGTGGGGAATCTTTTAGGTTGGGGGACTGCTGACCCACAGAAAAATCAGTTGAGGGCCGCACACAAGTGAGAAGCCTCTGACTGAGGAGAAAGACACTCCCCACATTCCCCTTGCACACCAGAGCATAGGGGGCCCAGGCTAGTAGATTTTGTGTGTTCCAGCCCTGTGGGGGGCTGGAGTGCCAGCACAGGTCCCCCAATGCTGAGCCTTGGTGGCTGGATCCAGGCAAGCTGTGGGCCGCATCGAGCCCCCAGGCCTGATGTTCCCTACCCTTGGCATAGAGATATGATTATTAAGTTTGCAATAATACCAAGCTTGGGAGGGGTTGCATGTGCTTTGGATGATAGGGTCATAATTCAAAAT